ATCGGTGACTCAGCACCTGTGAGCTTAACGCCCGTATTCCCACTTCCTGTTCTTCCACAAAGAGCTGAAGACTTTTCTTATTCTCTCCCTCCCTCCCTCTCTCTCTCTCCCTCTATCTCTATCTCCATCTCTATCTCTTTCTCTCCATCCACATAATTTCTGATTGATAAGGAGTTTTAAAAACACAGCCACAAGGCCAGTCAAGTGGCTCAGTTGGTTAAGAGTGTGAGCTCTGAGCAACAGGGTCGCCGATTCAATTCCCACATGGGCCAGTGAGCTGTGCCTGAGCTGAGCTACTGCTGAGCTGCCAACAGGTGGAAGGATGGCTCAGCTGGTGAGAGCACGTGCTCCTAACAACAAGGTTGCCAGTTGGACTCCCACATGGGATGGTGGGCTATGCCCACCCACAACTAAGATTGAACATGGCACCTTGAGTTGAGCTGCCCTGAGCTGCCGACGGGTGGCCAGGTTGCTCAGTGGTTAGAGCGTGCGCTCTTAGCAACAAGGTTTCTGGTTTGACTCCTGGATGGGATGGTGAGCTATGCCCACCGGCAACTAAGATTGAGCACAGCACCTTGAGCTGAGCTGCCACCTGGATGGCTCAGCAGCTGCAAGCTGCCTACGGGTGGCCGGATGGTGACTGGACTTGTAGCTGAGCTAGCTGCGCCCTCCACTAAGATTGAAGGACAACAACTTGGCTGTTCCTCTTCCCCAATTCCTAAATACTGTTCCTCTTCCCCAATTCCCCAATAAAATCTTTAAAAACAAACAAACAAAAACACAACCACAATACCCTTAACATAAGCAACAAAATAATATTTATGTAATGTCATCTAATGCCCAGTTCATGTTCAATTTTCCCTGGATATCTCAAAAATGTCTCTTATAAATGCTTTGTTCAGTATCCATACATTGCATTTGGTTAATATGTCTCAAGTCTCTTAATCTAGAATAGTCATACGAATGTTTTATGTCTTCATCGATTCTTTAAATTACTTTTTTTTTAAGTATTTATTTATTCATTAAGTAGATAATGCTTGCAGGGCAATAACTTTTTTTTTCCCCAAATATTGCCTCTGAGTCCCAGTTTTTTCCTCTGGTAAGTGAAACTGATAATAGTACCTATCTTATGGGGGTTTTAAGAGAATTAAATCAGATAAGTAAAGTACTTAAATAATTATTTGTTATTATATACATTCTCCCTTTGGCTTGTCCCTAAATAATAGAATGATACACATTTCCCTTTATTGGTTTGATTTTTTTTTATTATGTTTTGATGATAATTCCATACCTATTCTTATAGGTTAGTTTCATTATTTGTAATCATTCACTTATATTCCAATGTATGGATGCCAAACTGATAGACATGTAAGTTATTTCTAGACTGTTGTTTAAAAAAAAAACCACTGAAATGAATACACTTGCAATATTTTATTGGATTAATGTGCAGAAATATTCGTAGAATGAACCCCAGGAAATAAAATTGCTGAACTAAAGCATATGTGTATTTTAATGCTTTATAGGTATTGCCCAACTGCTTCTAAGGAAGTTGTACCAATGTATACTCCCAAGAAAAATGCACAAGAGTCCCCGTTTCCTTATACCTTAGTTACCTGAAACATTACTAAATGTTTTGATCTTTGTAAATATCATTTGTGAAAAATGATATCTCATAGGCTTATAATGTGCATTTCTTCTATGGTGAGAAGATAAAGAAAATAGAGTGCAACTGAACCTCACATTCAAATAACCTCCCTATGTCTCCTGAGTGAGAACCCCAAGTGAACACCAGCAGGATACAAACGACCTTGTCTGTATTCATGAAGGGGGTGCTCCCTGTCCAATAGCGCTCAGAATATTTTGTGTATGGACATATGTAATTAGTTACATCTAGCAGCGGTGAAGGGCTTGTTCTGAACCAGTGCAACCCCCTCACCTGGTCCCTTTCTGACACACGGTCAGAAGTAGAGAACTTTGTCGCTACCGGACATGCGTTGGCATGGCTGACCACTTTCTCCTCCTTGGAACATTGTCATCCCTTGCCTTCCCCACTATCCCCTCGCATGGATTTACTCCTAACTCACGAGCTCTCTTTCTCAACTCCTTGGCTGACTTCTCCTCTCTTCTGTGTGGAAAACATAGGGGAGCCCCAGGGCTCCTTCCCGACCCTTCTCTCCTCTAACTACAGCGTGTCTGTAGGTGATATCCATCCCATGGCTTTAAGTCCCAGGGCCAGGACTAGGGTGAGGCCACTGAGGCAGCTAGGACATAAAATTTAAGGAGACATTCACTCTTAGACTCTGCAAGTGCAGGGTTGGCCCTGAAGAGTGACTGTCTCCTTGGGTTTTCTACCTTTGGCACCTTGCTTGCTTCACCTTAGTTCCACCTCAATACACACACCTGCCTTCTCCCTGGACCTTCAGACACATTAGTGCTATTTGACATCTCTTCTAGGAGACCTCAAATGCAACTCAAACCTCAAATATCTAAAACAGAGCTCTTGCATCACCTCTCACTCCCTTGCCCAAACCTGCTCCTTCTATGTCTGTCTCGGATAATAGTATCACCGTTTATTCTGTTGCTCAGGCCAAAAATCCAGGAGTTAGCCTTGATTCCTTTCTTTCAACAAACCCTGTCTTCTTTCTCCAAAATACATTCCAAATTTGACAACCTCCTCCACCTGTACTGCCACCCCTTAGGCCAGGCCCTGTCCCTTGCACTGTATATAGCTGTGCCCACCGCCGACCCCAGTCTTCCCTCTTCCTCTTATACTCACTACTCAGTGGCTAGAGTGATCTTTTTACATCATAGAAATTGTGTCACTCTCCTACTTAAACCCCCCCAGTGGCTTCCAGATGAATTTAGAATTAAAATCAGACTCCTTACCAGGGTCAATAGGCCAGGATCTAGCGGAATTGTCATCGTCTCCCAGCACAGCAATCTCACTTTCACCTCCCCTCATTCACCAGGCTCACAGCTCACTCCTGCCCCTGGAATCCTCTCCCCAGATCCTTACACAGCCACTTCCTTCTCAGCATGCAGCTGTCAGCTCAGGTGTCACTTTCCTGACCACCCCCATCCACTCCCAATCCCATTACCCTACTTGATTTCTCCACAGAAGTATCATCATCTGAAAATGTCTCATTGTTATCACTGCTTAATAATCCCCCAAAGCTCAGGGGCTTCAGACAAATTGTATTAGTTCAACAGGACAGTTCTTGATTGGGTCTGTCCTGCTGTGGCAGTTAAATAGCAGCTGGGATTAACATCCTCTGGAGACTGGGCAGGGCTGGACGTCCAACACGCTTCCCTTCCATGTTGGGTGCTCCTCCACGTGGCCTGCTCCTCCACGTGGCCTCTGTCTCCAGCAGAGAGCCTGGAATTCCTGCACAGCAGCTCAAGTCTCCGAAAGTAAAGAAGTGGAAACTGCTGGTCCTTTCACAGCCTAAGCCTGGAACTGCACAGTGTCCTCTGTTTCGGGTCCGAGGGCGTCAATCAGGGACCGTCTCGGTGGTGAGATGCCCAGCTGACAGAAGGCACGAGGCAGACTGTGTGCCATAAAAACAGCAACAGCTCTTTATTCATCCGAGGCCCAAGCCAGAGAGAGAGAGAGAGAGA